TAGTCAAAATAAATCAACTAAATTTAAAGAAAGGGAGTGGCTTTTTCATTTTTTTCTCAAGTTCTTTAAATAGAGTTGAGTATATATTTTTTGCACCTAGTAACTATAAATCAAGGTCTTGACAGACAATAAATGCCTTGAAATTTATGAAGAAAAAAGGAAAACACCCTAGAAAAAGATGTTGATTTCGTTCGCATGAGTAGAAGCTAGTATTTCATCAAATAATTTTTCTAATCCTCACATATTGCAAGGTAAGTGTTTGCCTCTTTTCGGGACAGATTACAAATCTTGTCCTTAGGAAAGCACTTTCCCGCCACATCCTCATGAAGATGCTTTAATTCCCCTTGGCCCATACCTACAATGAAATTTTGGAAGATGAGTTTCTATTTTTTTTTTTTTAACGAAAAAGTATGTTACAAGTTAAATTGTATTTTAAAAATATAGTGTAATTTATGAATTCATTAAATTACTTTTAATGAAATTATTTTTATGTTATTTTATTAATAATAGTTTAGTAATTTTATTATATGAATTGCACTTTTAATATACAACTCAATTTATAAAATATAAATTCCTTTTTTATAAGTTAGAATCAACCCATATGTAACTCTAATATACATTATTTATACAAAATTTTAACCATTATGTGAATGATCTAAATTTATCATGATTTTTTAAATAAGAAAGAGTTATTGTTGTAAAATAAAAAAAGATAAAAAGTGAATAAATTTTAACTATTCATGTTAGAGAAATGAATAATCAAGATGTTATACAAGTTAATCTAATATATATATATTAAGATTTGTTGCTTAGTATTATAAAATTTTGAACTCCTAAGTAATTTAAATTAAGATTTTTTAAATTAATGTATACTAACTCAATGAAACTAATAAGAAAATACTTAATAATAAAGAAAATTTATCATTCCATCATTTCCCTTTCCCTTTTGTTTCTTTCAAATTAAACATATCTTAATTAAAAGCCTTCCAAAAATAATTTCATTCCCACCTAGACGAAGTCGTTCTTCCAAGCAATAGCTTTCCTAACAATTAGTTGGAATTCAAGGTCTTTCCCATCCATAACAAATATAAAGTGCAAATGCCAACAAGTTACTATTCCATCCAACAATTTTCCTAACAAGTTGTAATCAGTCAAGGTCTTCCTTGTCCATAACTAGCACGAAAGTGCAATTGCTAAATGTCAAGGTTTGCCTCTTTTTAGGATAGATAGAGACAACAAATCTTCATACTTCTGACAAGGAAACATACATTCATATTAGTCAAATTGCATATCCCTTCCAATACGGTTGAATGAAAAAGTGATTTTATCATAAGAACCGACAATAATACCGTGTTTTTGAAAGAAATAGCAAGTTAGTCATGGTCTTCTACTAACACATCTAAGTCTTCCTTTAATAATTTACAACTAACGTCAAGGTTTACTTCTCTATTGGGACACAAAGACAACGAATCTTTTTACTTGTTTTTTGGGGGGTGGGAAGGGGGGTAGAGGAAGACTTTCCCTCTACATCGTTACGAAGACGCCTTTTCTTTAGGCCATACATATATATATATATATAGTTTTTTTTTTCCGTAAAACTCCTTAGGCCATGATTACAATGAAAATTTGGAAGATGAGTATGGAGTAGTTTTTTTTTTTTTGTTTTTTTGTTTTTTTCATTTTTTATAAACATTGGGATTAGTGCTTTATATTGTAAGGGATTAAACTTTTTTTTCTTCTTTTCTGATGTTATAAGGGATTAAACCTTTAACCATTTTGAAGGTTTTCCAAAATTTTCCTAACAAAGTTGTGAGTCAAGGTCTTCCCCGTCCATAATCCTTTTTTTGGGTAGGCACTTTCACCTCCCTAAGTAGCACGAAATTGCGAATGCTAAATGTCAAGGTTTGCTTCTTTTTTGGGACAGATGGAGACAACGAATCTTCATACTTGTTGGGGAGAAGGGGAAGACTTTCCTTCCAAATCAGTACAAAGATGCCTTCTCCTTAGGCCATAATTACAATAAAATTTTGGAAGATGAGTATTGAGTAGGAATAATGATAAAAAAACACAAATTATATGATATGAAAATTTGAGATCAATAACATGATATAAGTTAATTTCTTAATATTAATGTGGCATAAGTTATTTTATTTAAAATATTAAAAAGTAAACTCAATATTATTTAATTGATTAGCTATTTTTATTTTATTAATTAAGGCCCATATATATGGA